GTGGTGAAATTAGGGTGATGGAATTATAGGAAATTTTTATCTTTTTCTATTTTCTAAATGTTCTAAAATGTAATTTTATTATTTTTATAAGAAAGGTGTACATTTATTATTTTTAAAGAAAGATAGACAAGAAGACAATAAAACAGCAATAGTGAAAAGTGTTTGCAACAGCTCCCCAGACTGGAGTTGTGGTGTTGGCATGTATGAAAATCTCGTGGCTCAGGCCCTGTAATGCCTTTCTTCTTTCACAAAAGGGCCCACTGGTTTATGCACCTCTTTCTTTCATTGTTCTTCATAGTCTTAAGACTTTTTCTTATATATAATAGCTTATTGTAAGCTTTTATCTTTTATATAATGGCTATAAATTTGAACCCTCACTTTCAATTTGTTTTGGGAAATATATATGTATATATTATATACCTTATATATAATATATATATACATATAATAGCTGTCAGATTGAACTTTTTTTTTCTCTTCCCTTCTCTTAAAATAATGTCTTCTTGCTTCATTTCTATGGTGGTTTTTGTGCTACTTGACTTAAAATGTCATCAATTGACTGTCAGTTCTGAAATAATGGGTTTTACACATAAGTATGTTTTAGTTATGACATGAGGTAATTGAACATTATATCACTTTAACAAATTCAAAGTCAAAGTGAGATAGATGTTAGCATTAATAGAAATCTTGGGCTCTAAAATCCAACAGGAAGAAGGATTCGAACTTAGATTTAGCTGAGCTTGATTGTGCTGTTGAAGTGATTTATCCCTTTTGTTATCTCCTATTATGGTGAAATAGCTTCTGTGGATAATTTTTGTACCACGGATCAATGAATTTCTAGGTTTATTTTGCTAGTTAAATGTTTCCGTCAAATATTCTTATTCACCCAGGAAATCATTCTTTTTTATAGTTTGTTCTTGTCAGGAAAGATAATACTCACTATCCTTTGAAAATACCTATAGGCTCAGAATTATACCTTGGTCAAACTTTAAACATAATGTGTTTATGTGCATGTATGCATGTGTGTACATTCACACACACGTATACAAATGCTTCAAACTAGCATTTGTAGAGCTTGAACTAGGAGGTACCACTGAGTCTTAACTTCAGGTATTGAGGTTACAGCTTGACAGGATTGAGAAAAATTTTCATTACTTTCATATGAAAGCTTCTATTCCAATGAAGGGCCCTTATAGTTGATTTAATGATAACTTTAATTTTCAGATTCTAAAGCATAGAAGTGGAAATTATTTGAACCTTATGAAATTGAACGCTCACACCCTACTTACCTCCTAAACCTACCTTGTCACTTTATGATGGTAACAAACTTTGGAGGCCAGAGTCATCATTTTTATTTCATATCTTCTGTTAGCAAATTCTTTTTTTTTTTTCCTTTTAAAAAGAGGTGGCTTTCTTTTTCTGCTAAGAGTCAAATGCACTGGCGATCTACTTTTGTCTTGATGAGATATGGCCCTTGTAAAATGCAAATTTATTTATTTATTTTTTATTAAAGATACAATTTATTTACTTATTTAACTACACTATATTAATGGAGTTTAAAATTCAAAAGACACAAAAAATATACAGAGGAAAGTCTCACTCTCATTCTTCCCCATGGTTGGCTAATCCCTTGCATGGACAACCCATGCTCAGCAAATTCTTTACATTTAAGATTACTTTACTTTTCCCAAATACTGGATTTATCTACTGGTTAGAAGAGAATGGACTGAGGAATTTTTCCTGGAACTATCTCCCTCTCCTGTTCCTTGTTAGTCTTATTGAAAAGCAGCCTGTTTTGCAATGAATACTGTATTGCTCTTACCTTAAAAAAGCGGGCTATTAAAAAAATGTGTATCCATACCAGGAAAAAAGAGCAAAAACAGCCTTATGGGCAGATCTAAATTTGTACTTTTCTTTTCTTTTTTCTTTTCTTTTCTTTAACCTTCTAGCTAACCAATCCTCTACTCAAAGCATGCTAGGAAGCGCCATGTTCAAGAAGTCCCTCCTGGGTCAATATGGCCTGAGAAGAGGAATCATCAAAAGGCAGAGCAGCTGGGCCTCTTCAGGTCTTGTCAGAGAAGATTCTTGGAGCAGTTAGGAGAACTGGAGAGAGGAAAAATCCGCTGACACCCACACTCCCTCACCTACTCCTCAGAGCATTTCTCAGAGGACACATGGCAGAGAAGCTTGTGGAAACATGGTCTCATAGGAGACTGATACTGAAGAGAGCCAGGTGATGATTGTCCACCAGCAACTGGATGGCCAGGCAGAGGAGTCTGGGCTTTGTTCTCAGTAGCACTCTTTCTCCTTCCCTCACTCTCTCAAGATCCTCCCCGCCCCCATGTTTTCAACGTGTTGACTCCAAGTAATTCTACCCAGTGACCCAAAATTCAACCAACAACAGAATAAAACCATAGTTTTAGGTATCGTTGAAGCATAGGCGTAACAAAAATAAAACTAGATAAAAAAAATAAATAAAACCATTACTAGAGAATTTAGGAAGAGAAATACTTCTTTAATAGATACATGAATTATTTAATTTAGAAAACATCAGTACCTCTAGTGTTTCTGGAAAGTAGACTTGGCATCTCTAAAAACACTTGCATGAACTTGGTAAAGAACAGATATTCCTTCTGCTTTCAGGTCTTTATGAGTTATTGTTGTAATTAGTAAGACCAAATTCTAACACAAAGGACTATAATAAAACATTCTTTGACTTAAAATAATTCTCCCAATGACTATATTAAGCTTTACAAATTGCAGGCAAGTTATTTCATCTGAATCTCTGCCCAAGATATACATGGTAGTGAGTAATGTGTTCCTATGAAAGCCTTTTGGATGAAAAAGATGAACTTTGGGTGTTGGAATATTTGATTTACTGAGTTTTGGCTCCTCTCCTGTCTGTTTCTCTTGCTAAAGAGAAACTGAGAATTTACTATGATTATCTAATCTTACTCCATTCTTGGAAGTTCAGCCTCAGTAAATAGTGGGAAAGGATGCCCTCCTGGATTGTTATGGCAAATATTTAGCTCTGAATCAAATGAACGTTTAAATCTCTAAGACTGCCAGTAATGTTGAATTTGGCTGGGTACCCTGTGGTATAATATTTTAAGCCTTTAAAAACACACGGATTCTTAAATAGCGACATGCCTTATCCTCATTTTGTTTTTTTTCCTGCCTAGCAATTTTGTTATTACCCTCACTATCTACTTCGAACAAATTGTAAGCAGTTTACAATTCTTGTAGCATATGGTGGCTGCCCACAAGCACTTTGTGTGCCTTGGCCAACAGCCACATGCAACGTTGGAGAATTATTTCCTGGATGAATTGTAGAGAATCTTGCTTTTATCCACTTTTCTACTTGAATTCCACTTTCGAGGTAGGGCTCAGTTAGATATATTTTCTTTTCTCCCTTTCCCCTTCCTCTTTCTCTTCCTGTCCTCTCCCTCCCAACTCTCCCACCTATGTCATTACTGCAGTCCTCCTTTACGCTGGGTGGTTTATACTGTCTGTATCATTAGAGATTCTTGTCAAGCAATGGTTATGTAACACTCATGTTGACAACCCCAGGTATTTCTAACTGTTGCCTTCCCTTGGATCCTCATCTATTTTTCGAATCGTTTTGAGTAGAAACATATCTGTTTTTTGCTTTGTATTTCTGACCTATAGAAACATCCTCAAAGCAGAAGGTGTGTTGGTTTGTAAGCCTCATCGCTCATATTGGGACTCTGTGTGGATTTCTGTTTTGGGAAAATAATAGTTTTATTTAGCATTAATTGAAACGAGACCTGGGTGTAATATCCTGATTGAAGAAGGGAGTTTGGAAAGAGCAGATGCTTTGAGAAAATAGACTGGGTCAGTGACAGCAAGAGGTGAGTGTTCTTTATTGAGACATCTGTAGCACAAGAGGCAGGACCAGAGTATAGCCTCTTCTCTGTGTGGGTTCCCCAACCCCTCAAACCCTAGCTCCCTTTCCCACTTCCACCCCTTTCCTTGCAGGTAGCCTGGAGTGTTCTGCCTTGCCACATAACGGGATTGCAAGGCAATGGGCTGAGTAGAGGAGAAGCAGCTGGAAATGGTGAGCCATTGTTTTCCTTTTCTGTTTCTGGCCTCTTGGGGCCATCTTTGTGTCCATGCTTTTGGCATGACGTGCAGTGTAACCCAACTGCTCTTCTGTCATTTTATCTCATTTGATCAACAGGTTGAATTCATTGATCTATCATTGAGTTACTTATTTTTCCTAGTGTAATAATAGCCTAAATACTTGCATTCCAAACCTACTTCTGAGTCATAGAACATTAGCCTACCATAGTCCCAAGTGTAAGTAAGCTATAACTTTTTGATTAGCATTTAAGTATTTTGCATAGAGAAAAATCCATAAAAGGGTATGAGAAATATATGTGTAACATACACATTTATATGCACATATATATCTACATGCATATATATGTATACAACACATATGTATGTGTATTTTCCCACCCCCACATGTATATATTCACACACCTATGCATATGCATATATGCACATATACATAAATACATATGTGTATATATATATTTTTTATATACTATTTAAAAGGAACCTGGACATTTATAAATTATTATAAATCTTATTAAACTATGTGGAAATAAATAGAATATAATATTTTCAGTATTTATATATTATAGTGGAAGTCTTTGAACATCAAATCTTACTGTTTATTAAAAAATTTAATTAAATACCACCTTGATTGAAAAAAGTAATATAAATTTGCTATTGGTATGTTTTGTTGCCATTTGAGAAAATTACACTGTCAATCAGTGTTAAATAGAAAAGCTCCAAATCAATTATAAATTGAGAACAAATAGCAAAGTGTGAATGAATGTGTCCTACACAACATTAAAAAGTGTTCTCTTCCATCTGACATCCCTAGCCCTTAATGCCTCTTTCAGAAGACAATCTATTATGACGAAGATGTGAAGAGTCAGGAAGAACAGCCTCTGAAGGTGTGATGAGGCTTAGTCTACGCCCTCCAGATTGGTGTCAGCCCCCTTGGGCAGCGGGGACCCAGCCGAGGCCTTGACTGGCCTCTCTCCTGCTGGTGGGTGCTGCCTACTGGACTCACATCCAGGCACTCCAGCTGGAACTTGCTCACCTGCAGGGGATGGTGGAGCAGTACCATTTGCCTCTATGGCCTGTAGGGAGGCCTCGGTTGGGGGCTGTGGGGTTTGACTGGCCTCTGGCTTCTGGGGCTGCTGATCAGCTGGTGCTCCAGCAAGGAGACCCTGGCATTGGGCTTCTGCTGCGGACCCAGCAGGGGGGTTACTGGCCTTGGAGGGAGGTTGGGCCTCATTGCCTCCTTCAGCTTCAGCCTGAGGAGTTAGGAAAGGTAGGGGACTCTCTGAATCCCCTGAAGGGATTAGAGGGGTTTGCCCTGGCTCTTGAAGGGTGGTGTCACCACTCCCATGAGGACTGCTGAATCCTGGTTCAGTCTCTTTGGACTGGTGTGGAGTTGACTCTGGATGATGAATTACCATGAAGGCTGTGGCCAGATCTTCCACAGCTTTTTGAACACTATTGACCTCTTCTGCATCAATCTCTTTATCCTCAGAGACATTTGACTCTGGCTCTTCATCCGAGGTGTGCTGACTTTGGTCATCCTTTTCAGCCATTTTCGCTTCTCTGATTTTTTTGTATAGTTCATTTCTCTCTTCTTGTAAAGCACGACAGAGGTTCTCCAGCCTCCCAATTTTCATCACGAAGCACTCATATTCTTTCGCTCTCAGCGCTTTCTGTGATTTGAACACATACACATACGTAAACCAACAGGATAAGCAAAATTGCCAGGATGCTCTCTGGAGACAAGCAAAAGCATTTGTCCCAGGATTTGTCTACTAGAGTCTGGAACCTGGCCACAGGACAGCGAACAGATATTTGGTCATAGACATCACTTTCTCTTTTGCATTGTGTGCTAGACTGGTAGATTTTTTTCATCATCATAGCCTGTTCTTTGAGAAAGAAAGATGGGAGGCTTTCTGCTTTGGTCCAGAGCCTCTAAAATCCTAAAGTAGATGAATTTTCTGCTTCTAAAACTTAGAAGGCAGACGTAAAACCTGTAGCAAGATGCATGAGGATGCATGAGATACCTTGGGACTTTGCTGTCAGCAATGCCTTATCTATCCCATGAATAAACTACTATGTACTAATCTCGGTAACTGTTTGACTTATGTTGATGAGTAATATGCATATCTCTTTGGAATTGGTTGCAATTTGGGATGAATTGTTAGAATGCTAATTATTACCATAGAAACTTACCACATATTAATTCATGATGCTGGCTGCTCAAACTGTTCAGTTCTATTCTCTAGAAAGGTTGGTGTATTTGAGCATGAAAATGTTTCTAATTATCTCACTCTTTGACTCTACTTTTGAGCCAGCCTATACCTTTGAGGCTCTTTTTCACTTGTTAACAGAGAGAGGCCTTAACCTGTAAGCCCTGCCTCTCAGTCAGGGACCATGTATCTTTGCCTTTTGTGTCTCACATCCTACTTGGAGCCTGGCATGACAGCAGTATATAGATGTCAGCAGGAGGAATTTAAGAGACATATCTCCATATCTGTCTATAAAATGACACATACACCAAGTGGTTGGGCAGGTGTTCTCTCTTAGGCTATTTCAAATCAATTAATTTATTTATTCAGCACTTGTTATGTGCCAGGCCCTGGAGAACTTCAAAGTAAAATAAGGTAGGATGGCCTCAAAGCCATTGAATCAACAAGTAAGCAGGTGACTTACGGTCACAAAGCTCCTTATGAGTCTAGACCTGATTCTAAATGCCCTTTGCTCCCATGATTTTTATTACACTTCAAAATGTTATTTTCCCCAATTCAATTTCTTTCCCCAAACAATCATTTGTACTGTTATCAGGTTATAATTCTAAGTATGAATATTTTAACTAAACTAGGGATAAAAGCTAAGGGAAAGACTTCCTCACCTCTTCGATCATGTCCAACAGAGCTTTGTTACAGTTCTCAAACCGCGCCTTCCACGTGGCTGTGTCCTTTTCCAGCTTCTTCATTTTCTTAGTCGTCTACAGAGATTAGAGTGAGTGTTAATCCCGAAAAAGTTAATAGATCAAGGAAGCTATTAGTACCATGTGTGACATCAAGAGAAGTCCTTTTGTTACCAACTGCTGAAGCAAACAAATGTTCAGTGTCAAGAATGAAGATTGCAGGAGAGTCATGATTTATTTCTGAGCCATCTAGGATTTGAGAAAACTTATTTGCACCCGAGTCAATTCAGGAAAAAGGACACTACTTAGGGGCACACTGTTTTGTTGTTGCTTTTTTTTCCTTCACTTAAAAGAAGAATAACTTTATTGGGAATAAGTTTGTAATTCTGTTCTTTATTTTGTTGAATAGATTGCTGGCATGGTTTTTTGGGTCATTAAAATGTTGATAATAGCCGGGCTCGGTGGCTCAGCCTGTAATCCTGCGCTTTGGGAGGCTGAGGTGAGTGGATTGCCTGAGCCCG